CCAGGTCTTTTTCAGGTCAGGTCAAAAATGACTTCACAGGGGCCAAAAAGGTAAAAGAGTGGCGCTACAGAATAAGGAAGTTTTTAACGAATAATTTTCGACATAATCAAGCTAGGCTAATAGCACTAATAGCACCATCGTGATCCTCTCGTCAATCCGCATCGAAGCATATATGTGTTGACCTTGAAAGGTCAAGGTCAGAGGTTGACCTCAGGTCACGTGACCTCAAGGTCATCATGTATATCGTTCGATGCGCCTTGACGAGCTGAACACAATGAGACCATTCCCGCGGCTGTATATCTTTTCTGTAACGAGTTATTAGCGAAAAAAAAAATATTTGGTGACCTTTGATGACATCACATGACCTAACAGTTGCAAATAAGACATCAAGGGCGTCAAGGTTGATCGTAAATGAAGTCATTCTGAGTAAAATTGGCCATTACGACGCGTTTCAGTGAAAAATCAGACACTTATTCTTTGGAGCGCTCTTGCGAGGAACATTATGAATATTAGAGAGAGAAAATATATGAAAAATTGACCTCTCCTCGACATTTAAAATTATTTGAATAGCCAAATATTACTGTATTGATATTTCGACCAACAGGTCTTCTTCAGAATAAGACAGTGTACACAAGTGTACGAGAATACAATAATGTATTATTGGATTCTCGTATTGTATTGTATTCTCTTATTGTATTCAATTATTGTATTTATTGTATTCTCGTACACTTGTGTACACTGTCTTATTCTGAAGAAGACCTGTTGGTCGAAATATCAATACAGTAATATTTGGCTATTCAAATAATTTTAAATGTCGAGGAGAGGTCAATTTTTCATATATTTTCTCTCTCTAATATGAAAAATCAGGCAGTTGACTTTTCCCCTATTGACTTATGATGAGGAGGTCAAGAAATTGACCTGACCTTAGGCCAACGACATCAAATTCCGAGATACAAAAATTGTAGCTAGTAATGACCTTATGACATCCTGCAACTTCCGAAGAACTCGGTCAACTACTGTAGCCTGACACGGTGACAAAGGTGCGAAAAGGCGATTGGACGTCGGGTCATTCGAAATGACCTGTGATCTTTTCGAAATGACGAGCTCTTTTCAGCTCATACCTGTCACGACTGCTTACCTTTATGCAATCGTCGGGAAGATGAACGGTTCGTCAGCCTGCGGTGCGGACGGCCTGTGTATTAAGTTTATCAAAATGTGCATAGACTCTCTACACCATGTTCTGACACACATTGTGAACTCCAGCATTACCTCATGTGTTGTTCCCGGCGCCTGAAAACTCACTTTAGTGCATCCCATTCCGAATGCTACAAAATCTGATGATTTCAGTTGCTACCGACCCATCTCTATCCTTACTACAATCGCAAAAATCACAGAACGTGTTGTTTCCGAACAGTTAAATTCGTACTTTACCACGCCCCACCTGTTCTCCGCCAACCAGCACGGATTCCGAACCAACCACTCAACCGACACCGCTCTGTTAATTAACGCTAACCGATCACGTTTTTCGAGTCATGTACCGCCGTGAGATTACTCTGATCTGCCTGTTAGACTGCTCTCGCTGCTTCGATTGCATACCGCATGGGGCGCTGCTGCGTAAGCTTGAGCTCTACGGAGTAGATACGCGATGGTTCCAGAGCTACTTCGCGAATCACTATCAGCGGGTCCAGGTGCAGAGTACTGGAGCATCTCGCGGCCGGACCCTATCCGAACCTCTACTAAATCCTATTGGCACATTCCAAGGTTCTTCCCTCGGACCGTTGATGCATAACATTTACGCCAATGACCTGCCGCTGTATACGGACCAGTACCAGTATCATCGCATACGCAGATGACCAGTACCAGTATCAGTATCATCGCATACGCAGATGACGTACAGTTCTACGTGTCCGGCCCACCGAGGGATCCCAGTCAACTTATCCAAACCATGGAACGCAGCCTTGACGTTGTTGCCACCTGGTACGACAGCAACGGCCTCAAAGTTAACGCGACTAAGACGCAACTCATCGCGCTAGGAACTCGCGAACTGACCCGGCGCCTTCCCCCAATCAGCATCTCCTTATCTGGGGTTTCCGTCGAGTGCTCCAACACTGTCAAAAACTTAGGTGATTTAAGTTTTAACACGCACACAGACTACGTGATCAAGAGGTGTACTGGTTCGCTGTGCGGACTAAACCACAGCAGGCATTGTCTCCCCCAGTCTGTACTTACCGCCTTAGTCCAGGGCCTGGTACTGTCGGTGTTGCGCTACTGCCTGTCCGTCTACGGAGCTAGTAACATTACCCAGCGCAGCCGGCTGCAGAAGATAGTGAGGTTCGCTGCGCGGCGCGGGTAGTCTCCGGCCGTCGGAAATATGACCATCTGAGTGACGTGCTAGATGACCTAGGATGGCTTCACGTTGACAACATGTTTAAAGGGAGATAATGACCTTTTTCCACAAAATCTGAGTTAGGACCATTTTCTGACAAAACACAACAAGTTATAATGTAAATTAAAACCATTTTGCTCAATTCGGTACCTTGCCGCAAATATCTCAACTTGAAGTCACGTTAGCGGGGAGCGCTGAAAATGACCGTTGAATAAGTACTTACGTCACTTTTTGGTACTTGCATGTAATTTTGTAAAACGAGCGTATTCCTTACATTTGATCTTCATCACATCTAGTTAGTTAATGGTCGTCTATAGCAGACATGTTCTTGGATCCCAACAGTGGATCTATGATCTCGGTGAATCCCGTGGCAAAATGGAATCATGGATACATGATCCCAACGGATCTCTGGACGAAAGCGAAGGTCGGATCTATGATCCCAGTGGATCTCTCGACGAAACCAAAGGTCGGATCCATGATCCGAGTGGATCTCTCGACAAAAGCAGTTTTTGACACTTATAACTGTTAATAACGGTTAATTAACCAATTTAAGCTTGAAATTAGGCATCATTAGTCACACATTGCACTGAATCACGATCTTCAACCTGCTATCTTGTTCTTGGATGATAGCAGGTTGGGGAGCTTGGGATCTGTGATCCCAGTGGATCTCTCAACGAAACCGAATGCCGGATCCATGATCCGAGTGGGTCTCTCGACAAAACGGAGACTCGGATCTATGATCCCATATGATCTCGGATCCAGATCCATGGGATCAGATCTCCAGATCCATTTTTGGGATCTACGAACATGTCTGGTCTATAGTGCCTTCAAAAGATATTCATGGTTTGGGGGTGGTTTATGCCTAAATTTACGCAACTATTTTTCCTGTTCATCATCTGACGCCATATGCTGCTATTTTAGTAGCAACGACTCAATTTTGAATCGGTCCCGCCGACTGCACAATAAAAGAAGATAGATACAACACTTTTGCGGCATCACTGAAAAACTTATGCAGTACTGTTATCAAAATTCTCATAACACCGTTCGACAAACCTGAAGTCTTTTTGAAATAAATATGCTTGTATTTTTCGCTTCAGGCTCTGACGCCAAAATAATGAATTTCGTAGTCGCAATCGCAAGATTTGGCTGCGTTTCTGGCGCATGCCGTTCATTTGTGGCGCAAAATAATACTTGGAAACAAAGAAGAGTAGGCACTATGTACCCCCGAATTAGAATCTAATTAATTCTAAACTGAATTAACTCTAATTCAAATTAGAATCCTTACAACCAAGCAACGACAAGGCGATAACATAAACAAAAACCCAAGCGTCGCTGTTTGAAACAAAAGCGCCATATACTGCGACTTTTTAATAGAGAAGGACAACGCATTTCGGTGGGTGTTACAAGTACTGCAAGTACTGCTTCTTTTTTGCAAAAATAAAAACCTTTTCACATACGAAAATGTGCTAGGAAATTTTCATATTTTATAGAAACTACAGTAGAAATAGTATAGATGTCGAGTAATTTTAATTTAAGAAAAAAGAAAGCTCATTATCTCCCTTTAAGAGTATCGTTGCTTGCTAGTTGCTACTCATACGAAAGATGCTTGATACATCTGAGCCTCAGCACCTGGCCGAAAGGTTGGTTACCGGACAGAGTGCTCGCAGAAGAGACACGCGCCAGAATAACCTGCTCCTGACGCCCTCCATACGATCGGAGTCCGGGAGGCGTCGATTTTTTACTCAGCGGTAGCAGAGTACAATAGGCTGCGGCAAGAGTTGAGGAACCTAAGCCTCGCAAGGTTCCTCAACTGAGGGAGCATCTGCTGGAGAAACAGCGCTCCGACTGAACCTGGACGCCCGGGTTACGAGAGTTTTTACTGTGTTCACTGTGTCCTGGTGTCAGTGATCTCGTGTTCGTGTGCTGTGTTGTGATACGTGTGCACTGTGCGAGTATGTTTGCATGTGTGCTGTCATCCCTTCATCATTTAATGAGGAATGGAATAGCCGCTGCTTTCGGTGGATGTGCCCTTCAATGTTAAATAAATAAGTAAATAAATCTGACCTAGAAGGTAAGAGGTTCAAACTTGCACACCATGTGTCAAGTTGATGTGGGAATAGTCATGCCAAACTTCGCGGCGCTGTGCGCCGTGGTTTTCCCGCCATTTATGGAAAGCCTCAGCGGGCGGACATTCCCCTCTGTCGGCGCGCGGGCTAAGCTTTTGCGATATTCAAACACATGAAAACGTGTTCATATAATTAGATAAAAATATTGAAACTTAGTAGGTATACCAACCAAAATAATCAACACGCAACGGTCGGAAAACACTGTGCCGGTATGCCAGAATTGACTGCATCGCTTGAATCTCAGCGACCAATCAGCTCTCGACCATCACAGTGACGTCATTTGCTAGCATTTGGTAGCAGTTATGTTGCACGTGTGTCCCTATGGCGATGCCCCTTCCCCCTGATCGTGCCTTGGAGATTGGCTCCTGGTGTGAGGGCAGGTGGGTGGGCTGCAGGTGGGCTGTGGCTGCCAATGGATGACCCTGTAGTGTGTATGTCGCTCGTCGCCCCGGGCTGGCGGCACCTGACGGCTCGGCCCTGGCACGCAGGCGCACGTCGTCGAGGCGTTCGAACAGTCGCTCACCTCGATGACAAAGAAGCTTCACCAGCTGACGCTGAGTAGCGAGCAGAAGGACAAGGACATGACGGAAATGCGCAAACAGATAGAGCGGCTGCAGCGCGCGCTGGCGGCCGGCGGTGGCGGCGCGGCGCCGCTCCTCCGGCATGCCTCGAGCGAGAGCATCTCGAGCCTGTCGTCGGCGTGCAGCGGCCACTCTCAGCAGAGCAGCCGCACGCCAGACAGCCCCGGCGCCAAAAAGAAGAAAAAGAAAGGCTGGGTAAGTGGTCATTGGGGCTTCAAACGTGAAGGGCTTATATTTAGGGCGGGTCAGAAAAATCGACTGGTGGAAAGTGCAGCCCACAACAAATGGAAAAATGACCGTATACCTTAATAGTACACCTTTTTGCGTTGTTCGATGGCCAATCAGCAAAACCCATTCGTTCGATCAGCACATAGGTGGCGCCAGTGAGAGGCATTCCGGCAAAACCTTCAGCATATGGGCAAAACGGAATGCTGATCCCACTCCACAGTTTGTCAGTGGGTATTACCTTCGCTATTCGCCATAACTCATGGAGTTCCGGCAAAACCTTTGACGATTTGGATAAATGCTTCGTCTTTCGTTAATATCCCTTCGTCGTTCACCAAAACATCCCCATGCTAATTTCGACATTCCTCATAACATTTCGTCAAAACTAAAAACAGATCGCCCCTTTACAGAGAAGTATAAATATGACCAGGTTTATACAGTGAAGTGCGAGGCATAGGTGGCGAAACTCGTAGACCATTGATCTACATAAAAATCGGTAGCGTTCATGAGCGCCATAGGTACAATGTAGATGGACGTAGCTGACATGTTATCGGCTGATTGAAGAATGGACAGGCAACAGAGCAACAGGCTGGATAAGTTAACCCCGCCTCAAACACCAAGGAACAGGCAACAGGCTGGATAAGTCAGCCCCGCCCCAAAAACCAAGGTGTCCGGCCGGCAGGGCCCGGCTTGCCATCTGTCAGCCACTCCCTCGCGAGTCCGACCGGCGCGGCCGCCCGAGGCGTGACATGACATCGCACGGGCAGTGACGCGATAATGGCGGCCGACTTCGTGGTTTGTATCGAAGCGTTTAGGAGTCCGACGCTCAAGAATCTACATGCCTACTCGGTATGGCGCCGGCAGTCTCCTCGTAGCTATGGTATAACTGCCTTTTTCGGAATTCAATGGTTAATTGGTTGCAAATTGCGCTGGAACTGTCATAAGCCTCATCCCTGAATGTGTGATTAACGTTAAACATTGAATATGGCTAGACCAGTAAAACGCCTTTTGGGCGAAGAACGAGCGAGCGAGATAGTGAGCCCTGCACGTGCGGAAGGGGGAGAGAGTACTTCCAACGGGCACGCGCCAAGCACCCTTCTAACCGGTCGCTAACGGTGTACCAAATTTGAACGCAATCGGCCCAGCCGTTCCTGAGATCTGGAAGCGGCATTCAGCACGTGCGCACGTGCAAACGGGGTCCAAACTGACTTTTGCACGGCACCCTACTAACTGGTCGCCAACCGTGTACCAAATTTGAGCGCAATCGGCCCAGCCGTTCTCGAGATCTGGAAGCGCCCCCTGCACGTGCGCACGTGCAGTAGCACCTTAACCGCAACACATGGGAATGCATTGCCTAGTGGGTGCCTACCTGTATGCCAAGTTTCAGCGAAATCGCCCCAGTAATTACCGAGTTAGTAAAATGGGAACAAATTTGACACCTCTTATTGTTGTATTTTGCACGTGCAATTGGGGTGACCCACATGCATCGAGAGTATCCTATTTTTGGTAGAAGGGATGCTGCTACCCTATAAAAATAACCGCAAGTCAATCGCCCAAGTGGCTGCTGAAATATGAGCCTCTCAAAATCACTACTTTTGCAAAACAGCTTGAACACCCTTGACTTTTCACGTGGCACGTGCCACGACGGTCACTGAGATGTATCAAAAGTAGTCAATTATGGGGTAGAAGGGATGGGGTTACCCAGCAAAAAAGACCGCAGGCCAATCGGTCCAGCGGTTGCTGAGATATAAGCCTCTCAAAAGCGTTACAGGCCGGGCCGGGCCGGGCCGGGCCGGGCCGGGCCGGGCCGGGCCGCTCATACTGAGATTTTTCCGTTATATTGAAAAGACTCGCTTCGCTCGCTGCGCTCGCTCGCTCGTAATAAGCACTACATCATTGACATTTTGATCATTGACGAAAGTTTTAAATAAACAGTCATTGTTTACGCACAGTACCGATGAATTTTGCACATCGACTAACCATTTTGTGAAATGTCGAAGCATTATGACAATCTGACAAAGTGTTTTGCCTATGACGAACATTGTGCTCAATGACAAAGAGTTATGCAGAATGGTTGAATGGAGTCCAGCCTGTTTTGCCGACCGTCTAACAGTGATGCACATCGCCGAAGGGTTATTCTGAATGACGCTTGTCCAAACTGATGCCGAAATGGTTATGACGATTGGCCATCGAACAACGCAAAAAGGTGTAGTTGCCTAATTAATAGTAGTTACCTTAACGATAATAGTTGTAATAATAGTTGGCATAAAGTTGTCCCCCCTTTACGTTTTGTCGAATATCTCCGAAACCTGATGAGCTACTAGCATGAAGCTTAGCATAGCATCAAATGAATACCGAGGCAATGTCCGAAGAAAGTTTAATGGTTGTAGCTGGTTGTAGCCCTTAAGATGGCGTCACAGTGACGTCATAAAGCTTTGTTGTTTCTTGGTATGGACCGTTTCTGATGTCGCTGAGCATGAAACTCAACTTTTTCGTTGTTTCGCGAAACTCAACAAGTTTCGCGGCGCTACGTGTCCCTTTTTTTGGCATACACGATCAGTATCTACTTTTGGGGTTTTCGGTCAGTCAATCCGTCCCCCCCCCCCATATCAAAAACCCGTGGCCCTGGATGTTGCTCACATGCATTAGGGTGGGTGTCAAGGTCATCTGAAGATCATGCCAGGTAATGGACCCTTGATGACCTCGGTTCACTTTTTCGAGTTTTACATGTTGCTAGGCTAGTTTTTGGAGCTGAATTCGAATTTAGCAAGCATTTGAACATTTACGAAGTGGTTTTGGTGCCTTCGTAACATGTTACGAAGCTGCCAGAGGCGGTTAACACCTACTACGAATACCCGGCAGGACCCCTACTGGTTGACCTGACCTGACCTGACCCGACCTGGCCTAAATGCATGAAGACATCATCTGTGATCAAAACTAACATGATATTCGTGATCATCACCCCGAAAAAACCATAGCAGCCACACCTAACGACGCTCTAACAGGTCCCGATTTTCCCGACTTTTGGGTCATTGACCTGAACTGGAAGGTCAACCAATGACCTAGGATTTTGAAATTGGGTATCATCGGCCTTCTTTCGTCACGGGCAACACGCATTTTTTTCTGCGAAGCTCTAGCTTGATCAGGGGCGAAACGACGAGGGGGGTCCAGCGAACCCCTCCCGCTCCCGTATATGTTCCCGTCTGGAAAACACCAATGCGGGCGAGGGTTAAGTCAGGACTGGCGCCGTGAGAACGCCGAGAGGTCACTGTAGCTGGTGACCGCCGTGAGAACGCCGAGAGGTCACTGTAGCTGGTGACCGTCCGGTGAGCCCTCTGACCAGCGCGGCCGCACTGGCCCACCGCAGTTCTCGGCCGCCCCGCAGATCCGCAGCTCGTTCGGCAAGGCGTTCTCGCGGAGGAAGACCAAGGCGGGCAGTGACCTGGATGAGGGCAGCGCTCCACCGTCGCCAGTGCTGGCCGGCCGGCCGGCTGCAGACATCGCCGATACACCGTCAGTGCACCCGGATTCTCTCTCTCTCTCTCGCTCTCTCTCTCTCTCTCTCTCTCTCTCTCTCTCTCTCTCTCTCTCTCTCTCTCTCTCTCTCTCTCGCTCGCTCTCGCTCTCGCTCTCGCTCTCGCTCTCGCTCTCGCTCTCTCCCCCCACTATTTAATTTACCTATACTAAACTGGAATGAATGAATAACAGGATTGCCATAGTCTCGACCCAAGCTAAGCAGAACTTGTTGCAGGGCTCCCGACACCTACCGCCTAGTCGCTTTGTGTGAGGCTGCTTCCACCAGCCACCACCCTCCCGTCAGCTAAATCCTGCGTCTCTGCAATGTGAAGGCCTGGCTACACTTGGTGTTTTCGGCGTGCTTTTTTGCGGATTTTCGTGTTTTGTGTAATATCGTTCTAGAAAAAAGTTATAAATATTGTAACTTTTACATTATTTATGTGCAAAAGTTAATATAACTCGTAAACTAACTGAAAATTAATTTTAAAACATCACATAAACGTAATATCGTTTTTTCTAGCACGATATTACGCAGAACACGCAAACCCGAAAAACGCACGCAGAAAACGCATAGTGTAGCCAGGCTTTTACTGTGTCTTTCCAATGTGTGACCCGTTCTCTCCACTGTGTGACCCGTTGTGTGACCCGTTCTCTCCACTGTGTGACCCGTTCTCTCCACTGTGTGACCCGTTCTCTCCACTGTGTGACCCGTTCTCTCCACTGTGTGACCCGTTGTGTGACCCGTTCTCTCCACTGTGTGACCCGTTGTGTGACCCGTTCTCTCCACTGTGTACCTAACCGTAGCCCTGTTCGGTCGCAATTTTTTATCAGCACGGCAGGCTACGAGCATGCTGCTATTTCTTGACTCCTCATTGGTCAAATTCACGTGGTCTCTTCATTTGATCAATGAGAGACCAAGAAGCGCCAGCAATAATTTCCTTATATAGGAAAAACCGACAACATGCTGATTGTTCGACCCTCAGCATAAGAATGACGTGTAACAGGAGTCCTATGTTCAGAGATGCCCGCAAATTTTGGCAGTTAAATAGTGTTGGTTGTCGGTACTGCAGTTGGCTTATTGCTATGATTGTTGTTCATGCGGCGCGACTGTTACATTTCGTGCGCATAATGCCACGCCCAAACACGTGTGTCGGCTACTGCGTACTTTTTTAGAAAAAGGTTCAGGCCGAGAGGTGTACCGGCCGGACGGGATTCGTCTCACCCTTGCGCCCAAAACATTTCGGTTGGTATATTGATTGTGAGCGTTGATTGATGTTGAACTTTATTTGGGAACTGAAGCACTAGAGTAAAGTCAACCGTCTGATAAATGTTTAATGATAATATTGCGTCCGTCCGATAATGCAAATATGGCGCGGAGCAGTGTCTATTAAATGTCGGAGAAATGTCTGTTAAATGATGAATGAGAAACCAATATCTGACATAAGCTGCATTGCCTAGTAATGTCGTCATTGCCAACCGTACAGTTTCATCAATCGTCTTTTGGCACTCTGCCAGTTTGTGTTCAGCCTGTCACACTGCCACGATGTGAGTGCATTGACCCGCTGACTGTGCGCTAACAGCTTTTCCGGCATGTTTGCTTGCAGGAAACCACATGTGTGCTGCATGTGCTTGCTTTGTCCTTGTCATTGCTGATTTTCGTTCCTAAATATCATGTGCCAGTCTCTTATCTGTCTTTCCTTCCTTTTATTTTGTTTATCGAGCACTGCAGAGCATGCGTGAGTCCAGAAGAATGTCAGGGCATGAGCAAAGGTGAGAACACTGATAAAAAACAACGACCGAACAGAGCTCATGTCTTTCCACTGCTAACGTGTCTCTTAACTGTTACTGTGTCTTTCAACTGTGTGACCGTGTCTCTGCGCTGTGTGACCTTGTCTCTCCATTGTTATATGCCTCTTCACTGTTTGACCGTGTCCACTGTGACCTTGTCTTTCCACTGTTATATGCCTCTCCACCGTGTGACCATGTCTCTCCAATGTGTGACCCTGTGTCTCCATTGTTACTGTGCCTCTCCAGTGTGTTATCCTGTATCTTCACTGTGTGAACGTGTCTCTACGCTTTGTGTGTTACGGCGTCTCTCCACTGTATGACCCTGTCTTTTCTGTGTGACCGTGTCTCTCCACTGTGTTACCCTGTCTGTTCATTGTGTGACTGTGTCTCGCAGCGGCCGGCCGGACGCGGCGCCGCCGCTCCGAGGGTGCGGAGCTGGCTCCGTAGAGGAGGACCTGCGCCGACAGCTGCGCGAAAAGGACACGGCCCTGACCGATATGCGGCTGGAGGCTCTCTCCTCCCACCATCAGCTGGAGACGCTCAAAGAGACCGTCAGCCGCCTGCGCAAGGAGATGGCCTGCCTGCGCCAGGACAACGAGCGTCTGCAGAGGCTAGTGGCCTCGCGCTCGGCCAACTCGTCTCGTTCGTCGCTATCGGCCGAGCCGACCACCGAGCGGCCGGCGCCGGCCGACTCTCCCGGCGCTGGCAGCGACCACAAAGTGCTCACCGCTAGCGTGCGTCTCGACGACGAGGATTTTGTCGTCGGCAACGTCACCGTAGCCAGGAAGACGAGCTGGCAGGTGCTGGACGACGCCATCCGCGCCGCCTTCAAAGTACGTTCAACATGTCTCGTTCGTGTGTGTGCATGTGTGTGCGTGTGTGTGCCGCCACGCGCGCGCGTGCGTACAGTGGGTCTATATGATCTCCAGGGTCACCACGTGGCGCTGCGGTCGGGGTTGGGTGAGTCCAAATTCCGAGGGGAGTGAGGTCGCTGGTCATAGTGGGGGAAGGAGGGAGGGGAAGTGACGCGCTGCTATCGCAGCGTGTGCGTAGCGCCGGGAGTGGGCCGCCCGCCACTGCGTCGCGGCTGAGGGGAGGGGATGCTGGCTGCGGGTGCGCTCACTCAGGTATGGTGGTATCCTGTTCACGTGAAGCCAGCAAGAATGCGACTGAAGGGAATACACCTTTTTGCAATTGAATTCAACCATTGGCCATAGTCAATTTGTCGAGTGTTGGAAATGGCCAGTGCCTTGAATAGGTGCGTATCATTTAGGCCAGGGTTCATAATGTCCAGGGCACGATGTGTCCAGTGTTCGAAATGGCCAGTGCCTTCAATGGGCCAGAGCTCATAATGTCCAGGGATTACATAGTCACATATGAACATTAACAAAACAAAGGAAACACAGCGTTGCCATCATGTGAAATATTTGCTGCAGTTTCAAGGTTGAAAGAAAACACATTTTAGATGTTGTTCAGTTGTATTATGAAAGTGACGTCATAATATGAAAAACACAGAACCAACCCGATGCGAAGCAGTGTGGTGCCGAAGGCAATGCCTTAGGAGAGATAACAGGCAATAGTAAATCAAATAATTTTAGGTTAAGTGATTATGTATCTGGCTTCAGGTCTTGGCGTGCCCATTAGTGCGGGGCATCTTCCCTGACGCCAGGGGCGTCTTTCCCACCCTCTTGGGTAAGATGCCCCCTTGTACTTCTTCAGAAAATAATTAATATAGCAAAAAGTTATCATTTCAAGCACGAAAGTGTCATTTTTTGGAGAAAAATGATGTCGGCTTCCGTTGAAACTCCACGTTTTTGCTTTCCGATCGTCATTTTCGAATAATATAGGACATAGATAACATGAATCTGGATTGGACACGAAATCAGCCTGATGCAGAATGGGGCCGAAATTTTTAGAATGGGGAATCGACTGTTTTTCTGTGAAAACCATCACGTTTTGGCTACCACTTGAATGGCAATAACTTTTTTCGACATTTTGATGTTTTTTGCTTATATTTCTTTAAAAATAAATCTAAAAACGTGTTTTATTAGAGCCGTATATTGCACATTTACAAGTGGTTCATCAGATATGCAATGGTCACCAGACGCTACAACGAGTGGAGAGAGGGCGAAATAAGCAGACAACATAAAACATAATGGACGCCATTTAATTGCGTCCCAGAAAAGCTATTTCTGGCACCTAAAAGCTGACTCGCCCCAAAATTGGTCCTCAGCACCTATTTGGTGGATACCAGCACCAATCATGGAAAATGACCTTAATTAGCTGTTTCTGGCACCTATTCATCGGTACGCCTTACTCTTTTTTCTGAATCTGGCACCTAAATGCTGAGCGTAGCACCAATCTAGTAGAAAAATGAACTACTGGCTGGTAGAATCATGTTGTTCTGGTATAATGACCCCTGGAGTCTAGCCTAAAGGTTGCCAGTGCAGCTACACTCTAAGACAGCCCCGTAGTGATATCAGCATTGTATATGACGTTTAAATAAGCAAATAATATTGATTTGTTTGAAAAAACTGTCATATAAATATTTAAAAGTTTTTATTTGTAATGCTTAAAGGGAAACATTTTTGTGAGTAATTGTCTCCATTTTGACCATTAAAACGGGTATTGTATTTTTTTGACGTCATCAAATAGCTCCAAAAAAGAAATGTAATGTTTTCATTCCGTTCAAGGCCGCTGAAGAAACGCGGGATCTTGCGTGGGACATTATCCGTTGTTTGCTGCGCAGAGTTGTGCCGTGGTTGTGCCTTTTTCATCCGTTTCTTACTTATGTCATATGTGTGCATGAAGCTTTGATTTTGTTTTTGGTTATTGTGTGGCCGGTCAGTCAAACGCCCCTGTAGAAACCGGATGCTGCGTTTGATCGAGATGGAGTCAGACGATGATTGCAGAAAGCTAATAATATTGAAAAGAGGGCCGGTTGCGTGGCATGTCTGTTCTGTTCAGAGTTGAGATTTTGCTTTACTCCAGTTTATGACCTGAGAGCCTGGCTGGAAGTGACGGATCCAAACTTTTCACGTTAAAATGGCTGAGGGTGCAATAATCTCTAGTCTCTACATAGCGGGCTGGTATAGGAGCGTCTTGCTATGCTGCACCATAGCTGGCTAGTGATTCTCTTTTGGCTAGAAATGGCATTAACCATTATCTCCACTGGCGAAAATGGCACTTGACATCACCGAATGCAACGTTCATGTTGTTAGGATACATAAAATCAGGAAGATTACGCGAATTAGGTAGGCAAACGTGGAATAAAATAGGTGCTGGATGTTTTGGTTTTGGTGCTGAATCAGCAAACAGCAAATACGGAGTTCAACTAGACGATCTGGCAATTTTAGGCTGTGTGGAAGCAATTAGGTGCCAGATTCAGATATTAGGGTCGAATAAGCTTTTTGGGGCTGATCAGCAATTAGGTGCCAGAAACAGCTTTTTAGGGACCAGAAACAAATATTCCCCAAACATAATGACTAATGAGCATGTTCGTCTCACGCCTGAAAGGGTACGCTCGCCGTTTTCCGCCTTCTCCAGGACACATCGAGTACGTGCATAGCAGCGCCGGGCAACGCAGGTGGACTTGATTTTTTTCCGACAGACGGGACCGGGCGCTGCTCTGCAGTGGCGGTCGTTGCACTGCTCGCACTCCACCACTGACCGGTTCGGAGTTAGTTGGTGGACGTCCACCGCAGGAACCGTCCTGTCGCCGTCAGTGCTAGCTAGTGGTAGCAGTGATCCCATCAGCTGCGCCTTCCGACCAGCCATGCCTGGATGGTGCGGGCCCTCTTGGTGCGGCTGCGTCTCCGTGGGCCGTCTAGAGGTCCACCGGGACTCGATTCTGGTCAACATCGCTCGTTTTCCTGGCAATGATATGACTCTCACTGTCTCACATTGCACTCCAGGCCGCAGCGCGAGGGCACCCATGCTGAGGTGGCTGGCTGACAGTCCTCGGAGAATCCTCCAGTTCAGCAGGGAGCTCTGGACGGCTGAGCTGTTGCGGAGAGAGGCGGCGAGGGCGGACTGGAGGTCGTTCAGGCAGAAGACTGTTTAGAGAACAGTTGCCTTTGGTTCATGCTACATGTCGAAGGAGCAATGAGCAGGATAGTTTGTTTTCCGTCCTTGGGCTTCCTACCTTACCACCATACGGGCGTCCCAGCCGCCCTAGCCACTCCACGAAGCTGTTCACTTCGGGTTCAGATTACATCTACGGTTGAATAGTCTCAATCGTATAAACGATCCTCTTTCGCGATGCCACTGGGCGGGCAACTGAGCAGCCGACCAGCCAATGGGTGACGGTCTTCCCTCGTCCGATTCCTCGCACTCCAGGCACGCGTCGTCTTTCTACAGTCCGATGCAGTGATTGTAGGCTCCTAGCGTCTAGTAGCCGTTGGAAGCCGGAAGGTCTAGCAGCTTCGCTTCGACGTTCTTCTGGCGTAGAGCAAGGCTGTAGAACTCCAGGTAAGGACACCAGCCGTTTGACCTTGAACGCCGCCGGCCGGCCGATGACGTCATTGGAGGCAAGCCGGCTCGGCGGACGCATCGAGCGAGTGTATAACGGAGGAGCGTTGGACGTTGCGGGAGCCGGGGAGAGATTTTGTTTGCATACCACCATTGTTATGTTGATTGATCTAGACTGCATTCTTATAAAGCTCGACGCATCTTAGGCCTGGATAGTGCGTACATTCGTAGAACGGTCCGACGTCCGTGGTCGAAGCTGTCTACTCTACATGTACCAAAAGACGCTAAGACCGGTGCAATAACGGCGACCCGATCCAGTCCCTGGCGATTCTAGGACTCGTTAGGACCCAGGCCGAGTCTGGCCCGTCTATTTTTAGGGAAGCGGAGTGGGTGAATTGACAACCGAGTACCGATGGTTATAATTGATCCCGTCGTCGAGCGATGGTTGATTGACAGACAACACATGTTGTAGTGGGCGGATAAGCATCAGGGATAATGCCTGAACGTAGGCAAGCATAATTGGTCAGCCATATTGTTTAGGAATATAAAATCGTAACGGAGGTCATTGAGGATGTTATCTCTACATTACGAGGATTCACCACCAGTGAAAATCAAGGCTATAGAACTCCAGGTAAGGACACCAGCCGTTTGACCTTGAACGCCGCCGGCCGGCCGATGACGTCATTGGAGGCAAGCCGGCTCGGCGGACACACAAGGCGAATGCATAACGGAGGGGCGTTGGAACGTTGCGGGAGCCGGGGAGATATTTTAATGTGGTTGTATACCACCATTGTTATGTTTATTGATCTACAGACTGCATTCTTTTAAACCTCGATGCACTCTAGGCCTGGATGGTTCGTACATTCGTGGAACGATCACCCCGTCCGAAGTCCGTGGTCGAAGCTGTCATAGTATTAAAGACACTAAGACGGGTGCAATAACGGCGATCCGATCCCGTCTCTGGCGAATCTAGAGGGGTCGTAAGGACCCAGGCCGAATCTGACCGTCTATTTTTAGGGAAACGGGGTGGGTGAATTGACAACCGATGGCTTAAGAGATATAAATGAGAAGAGATCCCGTCGTCGATTGTTGTTTGACAGACAACACATGTTGTACTGGACGTATGACAATCAGAGGTAGTGCCTGAACGTAGGCAAGCATAATTGTTCTGTCATACTGTTTAGGAATATAAAATGGTAATGGAGATTATTGAGGATATGATCTCTACATTACAGGAATTCGCTAATTACTACGGCCCATAGGGGCACCGCCGGAGCTGTTGTTTTGCCATCGGTCCCAGGCAACTCCAGGGAGCTGCAGCCCGGCGGCCAAAGCGGCCCACCTCGTCGACTCGCAGGTCCTG